TTTCTCTAACATGTCGGTGCTAAATGTGGTCTGTTGTACCGTTTGGTATTCGTCGAGTTCTGTTATTCATTTATCATGAAAATCGTTGTCAATTTAACTCTTATTTCTGTTTTTGTATGAATAACTTAGTAAGTGTTTAATATGTAAATATTGCTTTTTGTGTTATCTTCCTTCTTCTTGGAGGCTTAAAACTAATAAATAATGGTCAAATATATGTTCAGCATCAAATATAGGTCTTTTTCTCAGATTTTTGTCCTATTCTATATTGCGTCATAGACGTAGCAAATCTATGTTATTTTTTCTCTCTAATCTGTGGCTTTTGCATTTCCCATGTTTCCGTCAAAAACCTCGGTTTTAGTGAACATCATTCGTTCGTTTAGGTGCATCGTCACTTCCTTGTTGAGAGAGAGTTTAAAAAAAATATGATGCTATATTGCACGAATTATTCGGTAAATTTAAAGTCTTATAATTGATAATCAGCACTGCTGTCGTTAGGGAATGGTGATAAAGAACCTACGAAATAAACATTATTTCTAGTTTATCCTGCATAATGACCATCACGAAAACGCTTGATGAACTTTAATAATGCAGGGATATAGGCGCTCCCCTCTATCTGGTAAATGACGTCATAAAGGCGCGCATAATTGACGAACTTTTCCCGTTAAGGACATCACTCGAAAGTGGTCTAAAAGCTATTTTCTATGACTTGACATCAAAATTATTAAAACGTCATCGAAGACAGATGTTTTGATTATTTAAAGACATCAAGACGACTTTTATAGTCGAATTAAATTGAAAAGTTAATGCATGTTGAACTAAGTACATAAGAGCTTACAGTTTTTCGCAATCATGAAGAAAAATATAGACCAAAACAAAAACAGAAATAAGTCTCATCATCCCTTTTTTTTCTTTCAAATAAAAAAGGAGTTTGATAGTGAAAACAGGCCTTACTCTCAATATAGACATGGGAGTCATAAACGCGTTTTTAAGGTTCGTCAAATAAGCACCTAACGACACCTTAAAGGCCAAGCTGACTCGTGCATATACGAAAGAGAATCTCGAATCAAGATGGGTATTTTACTCAAAATCTTAAAAATGTACAAAATGAACTTTTCTTTTAATCAATAATTTACGTGAACCACAAATCAGTTACCATCACTTTAAAAAATCTTCTATTCCTGTTCTAAAGAGGACCGCCTTCCAGCTCGAGTTTTATTATGTTATGTTTTATAAACAGCACCAGCGTCTTTGCAATTCATACCAATTGAAAATTTGTAATATCTATTTCGAATATATCGCAATAAATGATTTACGGTACTAAATGATACAAATCAAACATTACATTGTCTAGAATACATAATGAATTACAAACAAGCTAAGTTTAACCTACTTGATATAATTGCTTTGCGACGTATTAAGAAAAAATAAATGTCCAAAATGAGAAACTTAACGACACAATATAAAAGAAAACGGAATAGCTATGCAAATTTCTGATCTCGACAGATCAGGTACCGCTTCTTAATTATCATGAAAGATCAGGTAATTTGTATTGAAATTTGCAAACATCCTTGCAATCATTCCAATCGATCAGTAATCAATATTACTTTGTAGATAAATTTAAATAGTATAAATGAAGACTAGCCTCACACGATTGTTCTTATTCACGTTTGAAGGGGGAAATCGCTACGATGGTTCAACAACATTTGGTCTGGTTCAGAAACTGCTCCAACAGAGTTATGAAGAGGAAAGATTAAAAATGACACTCTGTACATTTTATGGACACCATCACGAATTTGTTGATCTATACGATTTGTCTGTGTCCAAACTAACTAATGACATTTTTACCACGTCTTAGATTGTGGTTTAATATCTATGTCGTCTGAGGGCTAAGTACCGAACGTGACCTATTCCCGAATATGACTGTTATACCGAGAGTGAATTTACATTACTATACGACGTGTCTCGGTATTTTGTACATCCAACACTCATGTATTTATTTTTGATGTTTTTTTTATAAAATTGCCTTTCAATACCATCATTGTCATATTCCCGATAATGACTGTTATACTGAATGTGAATTTGTAATGCTGTGCAGCGTGTCTTGGTGTTTTGTACATCAAAACATTAATGGATTTATTTTGATGTTTCTGTTATGGTTTCGGTTGAATAATCTGTTATGTCTTATCGCTTGTAGTCCAAATAATTATAAAATTGCCTTTCCATACCAACATTGGCATGTAAATTGTTTGGACGAACATTGTGAAAATAATTGTATAATGTTCGAGATTGCATGTTAGGTACGTAAGCGCGTCACTGTTTTTGATATCCTTTGGTGTTTTTCTTTGATGGAATATGTTCGTTGTTGTTCTGTGGTTTGCATGTTATGTCGACTATTATATTATTTGTTTGTGCGTTTCTTTGTTATGAATGTTCTTGCGCGTGTTTGTGCTGTATTTCTGTTACGTAGTGTTTTGTCGAGTCTTTAACATTGTCAGAAAGCGGGAGATTTGGCATGCCATGAAACCAGGTTCAACCCACCATTTTTTCTTAAAATGGCCTGTACCAGTTGTTATCAAATAGTTCGTTTCTATGTGTGTTGGCGTTTGTTTTTGTTGCACTTCGGTGTTCCTGTTGTTCATTTGTTTTCCTCTTATATTTTATGTGTTTCCCTCGGTTTCGGTTTGTAACCCGGATTTGTTTTCTCTCAATCGATTTATGACTTTTGAACACCGGTATACCACTGTTGCCTTTATTTATTCTTTACTGTTTTCTTAAAATCTTACATACATGATAATAACTGTATAACATAAACTATAGTCCATTATATACATATTTACACGAAAGGTTGCTCATTCAGTTAGAACAGAAAAAGGATACGGTGAAAGTTGTTTGTTTGTTTGTATTTGTTTAACGTGTTATTTTAAGGGAATGGTCATATAGAACACAGTTTGTACATCGGTAAACTTATTTTGACTAGAATATACTGATTTGATATGAAAGGGGTCTTGCCTTAAATGCACTAAACCGATACGCCGAAACGGATTGTTCCAGTTAGAGCTCAAAGTATGTAATCAGTTCTCAGGTCATGTTTATCTGACTCAGAGTCAGTCATGTTTTGCTCTTATTTCTTTGTGCCACGTATTCAGCGTAATATTATAAGGAGTATTAATTCATTTAGAATATACAAACAAGTAGTTTTGAGTCCGCTATTGTAGGTTAACCACGAAAAGGAAACATATCCATACATTCAAACTATTACATAAAATAATTTCTTTTTAAATGTTTATTCCGGAAAGTTGCTTAAAATCCCGTATCAAGCAGGAATTTATATATATTTTGTTAAAATGTTTCTCTGCGGAAGTTAAGTTGAAGAGTTCTAGCTATGTTCAGAAAAGGGGGGATGCTTATTATAAAGACATCTTTAGGGAGAAACTATTTGGTGAAAAGGGCATTTCACGTGAATTCAAAATAAAATAATAAAATAATTTATACCTAGACATGACGGAACATAGATAATCCGGTGTGTTGTAAATCTTCCTTCTTCAAATTCGCTTTTTTTATCTGGTATGGGGTATTTTTGGAAACGGAATCGAAACTATTGAAAAGAGGAACATCTGGTTATTCTATGAATCATTATTCTACCGTCGAAAAATTATGTTAAATTCGCCCATACAGTTATAGTTTCAACTAAGAAACATGCAATGATTTATAGAAAGGTAACAATCTCAACTTCAAAAGCCATGTGAAATGACACAAATGACTCCTTAGGTAGAGTTGATGCATTGCTTGTTTAACCTGCAGATAGCCTGTTACTTTCCAGAAACGTACCTGTTTTGGTACTAGTAAAAGATTTTTTGTCTGGCTGTTAAAAGAAAAAGGTTTCTTGAAAAAAATTAAAATATCATCAGTTTGCATGAAAAAAATAAGCGAAAGATACCAAAGAGATATTCAAACTCATAACTCAAAATTTAAACTGACAAATCTATGGCAATATATCGACAACAGATCAAAAGACCAACAACAAAATACAAAACACAACATAGAAAACTGACGACTGAACAACACGAACTTAACATAAAACCGGGGGTGATTTCAGGTAATCTGGCATTGGAAGCATATCATGTTCCACATTTGGCACCCGTCGTGTTGCTCATGTAATCTTAAACCCGATGATAAGTCTAATTCGGTGTGTCATATTCGATGAAAAGGGACGGGATTGTTGTAACGACAATTGAAATACATTCGTCATCCTCTGTGAAACAAATATTCCATAAGGGTCAACCAGCTGGTGATGGCGGCCGTAAAATGTCGAAGAGATGATTTCAACTTCAACAATTGGAACTCTTGGTTTCATAGCTTTCTTGTAAGCAACAACCCTCTATCAAGGACATCAATGGCAAAGCAAGCTCTGGAATATCGTATCAATTGGGAGATATATACTCCATATGCAGCCGCTGTTGGAATGTTGCTACATAGAAATTGAAAGTTTACAATTTGAAATCTGAAATCATCACTTTTTTCGCTAAGTTGACCCTCATTGTCAATTTCTAGATGTTAGATGAGATATGATGCTTACTTTTCCGTATCTGTTGTATCCTTTATTTCATGTTCGATGTGGAGATGCGTTCAACATCGTCACCAAAATTTGAAATAAATAGCTGGAGGACCTCATTTATATAGCGGAACGTGAACTAGTTAGAGGACAATGCCAGTTTCTTGTCATTCTTTCAAATTAGCTCCTGTATGAAGTCATGTTCTTATCAACAAAGAAACAAATCGACAAGAACAGAAACACAGTTGTTTTTTATGGGAATGTCGAATCTTTGTTGAAAAACACGTCCTCCAAATTTAGTAAATATATTATTAATTAAGATTTAAAACATCTTGATAATGTTAGTTTCCGAGATTTTTTTTACTTGATTCAGAGTGATTTTTTACAAAATGCGAAATATCACTATCTGAGTCAAGATACTTATGAATTTAGGAAAAATATAAAAAAAAAAAACAGTATAAGTTTATTATAATTGTATGAAACATATTTTTTTTTGTTTGACATTTTCTGCAATTTTGTATTCTTTCTGGAATCTGGAAAAAAAAATCGGAAGGGATAAATGAAAACGACATTTCAATTTCAATACGTATCCGTATTTCTGTATTCCTATTATGTGTGTATATCTATGTATATGAAATGTAACTTTTAGGAAAAGATTAACTCAAAGTTAATCGCTTGATCTCTATGTTGATCACTGTGTTTTTATGGTTATTTTTGTAAATTGACGTATATCTCACATCTTTCTTTATTCATATGTATTGTGTAAATGTTTACAATATTTGTGTGCATACATTATCATGGATTCGTACGAAATTCCCTTTGTGTTTATAGCTATTTTCAGAAATATTATATCTCATGGTGACTGGTAATATTGGAGGAACAATGTGATTTGTAAAAGACTTTAAGATATTGTCTAGTAGCTGTCCAAAGTGATTTGTGATGTAAATACCACACGAATGTATTCTATTTGATCCCTTGAAAAATGTCCAAATTATGGCTTGCTATAATTAATCTTATCTTTCTAATGTTTTAGAATATACACTTTTGTTTAATATGGTAATACAATAATTATATGTGTCAAGTTACTCATAAAACTTACAATGATCAAGTATATCAATTAAACTCAAAATCAATTAATCCATTTGAATTTCAATGTACCTATTTTTATAAAAAAAAATCTACATTCTGATGTTTATTTCGAATTTTTCCACAATACACAAATGTTTCATCCATTCACATATTATACAATACATACATGTTGGTTATGGACATTTAGCATGGCATCTATCAATATTTCAAAGTCGTCAGGCATGTGGTTTCAAACTGCAAAAAATGTTGTATTGGTGATAAAAAAAGTATTACTATGAAAGAGTAGGTTCATTATTTAGAACATATGACAAAAAGTATGAACAGTTAACGGTGTCAATCGTGCATTTACAGGGGATTTAAACAATGGCTTTTAAGGGGATGTATATATATGGTAGGTTAACATAAATGTTTTCCTTCATTTAAAAGGTTTTGTTAGCTGGTAATTTGAAGAACAACGATTTTTTTTGTAAAAATTACAATATCTTCAGTTTATACATGTTATATGAATTTAGGTATTAAAAAAACCCATTATCGCTAGTTGGTGTATTTTCCCTTTAATTTTTTTGGTGATAATTTTTCATATCATTCTTCTCGTTTCAGATAGAACAATATTTCAAGAATCTAAGGCTCGTTAGCAACAGCGTATTTTTTCAGTCGGAAGATAGATAATGTATATCGTCGTGAGCCTACGTCATTGATGTTGACTCGGGAAACATTGATGAAAAGATTATCAATGGTCTTTCAAACTCCAGGATGTTTCGTGGCTGCATTTCATATCAGGACTGTCGCCCTTCGATGAGATTGTAGCTGAGAAACACCCTCTCGTTTGAAAAAAACAGCAATAATCTATAATTTTAAGTCTATGATAAATTATTTAACATCTTTTCTTTTGTTTGACATTTGCTTTAATTTAAAATTCTTTCTGGAAGCTGGAAGAAAAAGATAAATATAAACGTACATTTTATTTCAAAACGTACCTTTATGTATTCCGTCATACTATGTGTGTATATTACACAAGGAATGACTGTAATATTGTTTCTGTCTTTGATGAAATAACATCAAAAATGATTACACACTTTATAACCTACGTAGCGGGTTTTCTAAAAGTGTGCACCACATTTTGTAAGTTATTACGAATAGACAGAAAAAATATTACAGTCTTTCCTTATAATTTAATTCTGAATTCCATTTTTAAGGAGTAAATCCTGAAAAAAAGTTGATGACGTCACGGTCACATGACAAAAGGATGTCTATGAGCTGATAGACTTTCAGCCAATCAGAAGACGTGTTATATCCAAAGTTAAATTATTGTATAAGAAATGTAACTTCAACTCTTAAAAGCATTTTTTTTTAAATCTGGTTATATCCCAAATACATTCGTGTAATACTTGTTACCTTGTTTGCATTATATCAAGTTGTCAGTATTATGTCATCAGCAGACGTGTGTATTGGTGAACACTGCATGTTGGTCTCTATGGTAATTTCTGTCTTTACAGTTGGTTTTTTCCTTAACGTATACCTCACATCTTTCCTTATTCATACATATTGTGTAAAATTTTGACAATACTGTGTGCATACACTCTGGTGGATTCGTATGAAACTCCATTTTATCTATGTCATGAAACATATATATTATGTAGCCCCCGGTTTCTAGCAATACTATAATAAAGTTATTACCGTGACAAAATATCCTGCAAACATTTTACAAGGTTCCCACTGTAAAAGTATTGAAGCAATGCACCCTTACATCGATCAAGGTCGGGCAGCTGTGTCGTAGTAACTGCAGAAAATGTTGAATTGGTAATAAAAGTCATTAGTATGAATGAGTAGTTCATTAATTAAAACATATGACAAAACAAAATACATACAAAGTAAAAATACATATCGGTTTCAGTCGGGCATTTATAGATGAGTTACACAATGATGTTTTAGGAGGTCCATATGGATATGTCTCTCACATAACTAACTGACACTAATTATAACACGTTCCTTACTCAATTGTGGTGTATAGGCAAGAAATTGTGATAAATTTGAACTAAGATCGGGTTTAAACTTACAAACTTAGACGATATGATATTAGTTATCATAGAAAACACTTTTCTTTAAAAAAAGGTTGATGAAAAGAATTAGATAAAACATTAAAAAAACATGTATAAAACATTATGGGAGATTTAGCGTCTTACACGTGGTATGGACATTTAGTTATTGTTTAATATAATAAGTTGATTAATGAATGCCTTTCTGATTGCATGGTATTTTTATATTTACATATATACGGTCGAAAAATATTAAAACAAAAGTTTCAGTCACAAAAAGGCGTTTCCAACTTATTATGTCGCTGTGAATTGATGTATGCTCTCATTGTAACAGATTCAATTGCTTTGGATGAAAAACAGCAAGAAAATATAAAGTTAAATACGTATGGTATGATTTGTATACAAAAATATGTGTTTGGATAAACCGATGCGATATACCAACGAAGTCGTCTAGTATTCTGTTTCTATCACAAGCGATAATTTACATTCAAATATCCATTAACGTCACAGTTTATTTTTTGGTGTCTTCTTCGAAGTCCGCTTCTATGCACTGCCGAATTCATTATTGAACGACTGGGATTACTAAACTGAACATTAAAGCGTAAATGTAAAGATGCAGGATAAAAACAATAATTATACATTGTCAGAAAATATAAAATGTATTTATACCCGCTACGAAACAACAGGGGAAAGTGTATGTATTTTGTAAGTGCATAAGCAAAACATGTCTATCTTTATAACGTAAAACAAATGTACACAAGAACCTAACGTTAACCCGGATTTGTTTTTATCTCTATCGATTTATGAGTTTCGAACAGCGGTATACTACTGTTGCCTTTATTTGATAGGCAAAAAGGATTTCAGAGTATGAATAACAAGCAACTTAAACAGAGCAGCTTAAACCGTGTGAAGTCTACTATGCCTGAGGGTATCTACGTCATGCAAAAAATATATCAAGTAGCCCTCGGCATACAGCAATACTATAATAAAGTTGTTACCGTATTCCTCACTCAAACATCTTGCTAGGTTCCCATCGTAATTGTTTTGAAGAAACCCTCCTTTACATTTTCCAGGTTCGGGCTTTATCGGAGAACCTCCGCCTGCAAACAAAATGTTTTATTGGTGATAAAAGACACTTATATGAAGCAGTAGATTCATCAATTTAAAGATACGACAAAACAAAATACATACAAAGTATAAACAAATAACGGTTACAATCGGGCATTTACAGATGATTTACACAATGGCGTATTAGGAGGTCCATATAGATATGTCTCCCACATAACTAACAGACACTAATTATAACACGTTTCCTATTCAATTGTGGAGCTTAGGCGGGAACCTGTGATAAATATGGCCTAGAATCGGGTTTAACCTTACAAACTTCGAAGTTATGATATTGGTTATGATGAAAAAAACTTTTCTTAAAAACAGGTTTATGATCAGAATTAAATAAAGTATAAACAAAACGTTTATAACACATTTTGGGAGATATAACGCTTTACATATACCACAACGACATTTACCAAGGAGGAATTCCTGGATAATCATAGGTCTGTTCTATGTTCCTTGTAAATTTCAACCAAAGATGAAGAACTTGATCTTACATCACTGTATTTGCTATCTAAACTACATAAGTGTCCTTACAAACAAGTTATATTGCTGGGTCTTCCAAGTGCTCCACGAAACCTTTTTCTGAATCATTAACATCAATTGTATCAACAACCAAATCCAGGCTTTAAAGTTATTCTGTAAATAACATATTATAGAGGCGGCGTGAATCAGGTGTGAATACTAAACAAATCCAAAGATCTTTAAGAGTGCATACATTCTAAGACTCTTTCATCTCGGAATAGTATTAAAACATTTAACTTTTCTTCACTGTACACAAGTATTCCCCATTCCAAAGTAAAAGACAAATTGAAAGAGTTGGTCCTGCTTTGTTTCATAATCAATAATGACCAACGTACAGTACACACTGTGACATAGTTTGTGTTTGTCTGACATGCTGGGCATGTTCTAATTAAGGTTAATAGAGTCACAACGGAATTAAAACATAACATTACAGGTAAAGTCTAAATGAATGTTAAACTAGAACAATATATGAAGTTAGTTATGATATTATTTGTAAGCTTTGCATTTCTAATCATTATCATTTATGTTCTTTTTTGTTAATTGTAGTGAATTTTTATAAATAAACTAAAGTAGTGGCTCTTTATGTATCACATTGATAGTAAGATTTACTGAATAAAAACCCAATAAATTTTATGATTTCTTTTCAAATGTCTTGTTAGATTTTATTTTCTTAACTTAACATTGCAAGAATTTTATTTACTTCACTTTATTAATATATAATAATTGGTATAAGAAATTTCTATAAATCAAACTTTCGTAATATTTGGAATTGTTAAAATTTTCAAGTAAGTAGATGTAAACATTATGCTGCATTTATTTATAAAATTTATAGAAATAGATTTTTGTCATAACATCTTTAAACATGTGATGAAAGTAAAATAAAGTTAACCAACTATTGACAAACTGTTACAGTCTTTTAAAAAGTTAAAATCTTTTTATGAAAACAATCATTGTACAATGTAGAAAATTGTTCATTAGCATTATTAAATAAATAACTATCAAGTTTTAATCATGCATTAAAGGATATATTTATAGCAAGTATGTTCCCTAAACAATAATATAATCAAGTTGTACAATGTATTGTAATTACTGTCAAGAAAAATGCAAAAAATACCACAATGTATATCAGACAACAGCTTTTTAAATTTTTATTTGACTTTATTTTATGGCATTTGTTAATTTTTTTATCTCCTTTTCATTTCAAATATATTTTTAAATTAATATAATTTAATTGATAATAATTTTTATCATTTTGATAGTAATAAAAATAAAGATATTATTTACATGATTAAGATTTTCTGCATATATTTTTTTTTAAAATTTACAATTAATTAATATCTTCTGGATTTATACAAAAGTAATCTTTTTTTATTTCCTGTTTTATTGATTTTTCCAAAGTTCACCTGTAAAACGAAGGCAAGCATGACCCTTTGAAGGAACAAAATATGAAACAAAATTGTCAACCTGTGGCAGTCAAATTACACACCTGGATGACCATTTGTTAATTGGCCCAGGAGGTAGCATTATTTAATTTTCCTAGTGGTCCATTATTTATGAACCCAATAAATGTCTGACATCCAATGTCAAACATTGAGGATGCTGATGATTCATCTGGCTATGTCCCAGTGTGTACGGTAGATACAAGTATCTTGTCGTAGGGAGGGATAAATCGTACTTTGTAAAAAATCACTCTGATTCAAACAAACAATTCTCTGAAACAGACATTAATAAAATGCTTGATTTCTTGATAGACAACATATTTGTTACGTTTATAGGACGTGTTTTTCAACGAACAATCGGCATTCCCATGGGAACCAACTGTGCTCTTAATCTTGTTCCTTTATTCAAATAAACCTGACTTCATACAGGAACTTCTTAGGAAGAACGAAAAGAAGTTAGCAGTATCCTTTAACTTCAGTTTATGCTAAAAAGATAATGTTCTCTCACTGAATAATTCATATTGGTGATTATGTTGAACGCATCTATCCCATCGAACTTGAGATAAGGATACAATAGACACAATTCAGTCTGCCTCATATCTTGACTCACATCTAGAAATTGACAATGAGGGTCGGTTGAAAACAAAACTTTCGACAAAAGAGATGATTTCAGCTACCTTATTGTAAACTATTTTTTTTATTTCTATGTAGCAGCATTCCAGCAGCGCCTGCATTCGGAGTATATATCTCCCAGTTGATACGATATTACAGGGCTTGTTTGTCCTGTCATGATTTCCTTCAAAGAGGGTTGCTGCTCACAAGGAAGCTATTAAACGAAGAGTTCCAAGTGGTGAAGTTGAAATCATCCCTTCGCAGATTTTACGAAGGGATGATTACGAGTTGATAGAACGTTATGGAATATATGTTTTACAGATGGCGACGGATATGTTCGAATTGTTGTAACTACAATCCCGTCCCTCTTTTCCTGAACGACCTACCGAATTAGACTTATCGTGGGTTTGTACATACATGAGCAAAACGATAAGTGCCACATGTGGAGTAGGATCTGCCTACCCTTCCGGAGCACCTAAGATCAACCCCAGTTTTTAGTGGGGTTCATGTTGCTCAGTCTTTAAGGTTCATATGTTGTGTTTTATGTATTGCTGTTTGTCTTTTTGTCTTTTTCCTTTTTAGCCATGTCGCTGTCAGTTTATTTTCGACGTATGTCCCTTTGGCATCTGTTGCCTCTTTTTTACACGTGGTATAGACATCTAGTTATTGTTTAACACAATAAGGTGACTAATGAAGGTCTTTCTGATTGCATGGTGTTTTCATATTTACATGTATATGATCGAAAAATACAAAACGCTTTAAGTTTCGAACACAGGAAGACGTTTCCAACTATTATGTCGCTGTCAATTGATGTATGCTCTCATTGTAACTGATTCATATGCTTTAGATGAAGAAAAGCAATACAATATCAAGTTAAATACGTACATTTATGAATAGGCAATACTAGAAAATACGATACAATTTGTCATTTATTACTTCTAAAAGTCTTATGCATCAAAACTGTCAGACGACTTACAATATGCAATAGGTATATCTCAGCATTCTGAACATTTCTGTCTCTAACAGAATGTTTCTCGTTTTAGCAGTTATCAAAATAATAGACAAAACATGCATTGTATCCTTATGTTCTATTTTTAGCCATGAGCCAGGTGAGCTAAAACTGGATATGAAGAAAATGATCATTTGATTCTCGTCAACAATGTATACTCAGGCGTTTGTTTTGTTTCCTAAATGAAACAGTTATAATGTCTTATATTCAGATTTCAACGACTGCATTTCCGAGAAAATTTATGCAACACGATTTTTCAAATTTTATTATTCAGCAAAAGGAAAAACTAGAAAAGTTTTATTTGTTCTCCTTATGTATCATATTGTTTTTTTGTAATTAGTTTAATGTGGTTTGACTCTGAATTCTTCTTTCAAATTTCAAAAGTAACGAATGATTTTTTTATCATCTGTTCATACATATATATGTTTCACCAAAATGTATGAAACTATATGATTCTATTTGAAAAAAACAATTATGTTATGGAACAAATCTGTAACACACATTTTTATATGTTTAGGATGTACTCAGGTAAGGTTTAGGAACTTTTGTCAGATGTTCGGACTCATTAGGTTTTTTCCTACGATACAGGGTAAAATATTTTGCCCATTATAAATCACTTTTCTTTTCTTAGAAGACTTCAAAGCTCATAGAAAGGTCATTGTCAAAATTTAAGCAGATTCTAGATTTTTTTTCCTACGGTTTAAGACCCAAATAATGCCAATGCTAAATATATAGTAACAGTCCGAGTCCGCCTTTTCCCGCCATTTTTTAAAAATCAAATATCTCAAAAAGGAGTTCCATAATCTATCAATATTTTAGGCTTATTTTGCTTTTTAACTAATGCTCTTCTGACTTATAGTATCAATTTTAAATTCTATTTTAATGGGCATATCAATACCCACGCTACATCAATTTTTAAAGACCAAAATGTTGCAAAACACTTGTCCTACCTCCATGACAAATATGTTGTTGTTCCCGCAGATAAAGCCCCAAACAACATCGTTTTTGTGTGTAAATATCATTACATAAACTGCTTGATAAATGAATTAGGTATTGACAATTCACTTGGAAACTCAACATATAACCTCACGACACTTACCACAGAGGAAATCCTGGATAATCATAGGTCTGTTCTATGTTCCTTTGGAATTTCAACCAAAGATGAAGAACTGGATCTTCCATCACTGTATTGGATACATAAACTACATAAGTGTCCTTACAAACAACGGTATATTGCTGGGTCTTCCAAGTGCTCCACGAAACCTCTTTCTAAATTATTAACATCTATTTTATCAGCAATCAAAGCCGGGCTCCAAAGTTATTGTGAAACTGCCTATTCTAGAGGTGGCGTGAATCAGATGTGGATACTTAAAAATTCCAAAGATCTTTTAGAGTACATTCAATCTAAGACTCTTTAATCTTGCAATAGTATCAAAATATTTGCCTTTTCTACTTTTTACACAAGTATTCCCCATTCCCAACTAAAAGACAAACTGAAAGAGTTGGTATTGCCTTGTTTCATTAAAAAGAATGGCGAACGTAGATACAAGTATCTGGTCGTGGGGAGGGATAAATCCCACTTTGTAAAGAATCACTCTGATTCAAACAAAAAATTCTCTGAAACTGACATTATCAAGATGCTTGATTTCTTGATTGACAACATATTTGTTACGTTTGGAGGACGTGTTTTTCAACAGACTGTCGGAATTCCAATGGGAACCAAGTGTGCCCCTCTTCTTGCCGACTTGTTTCTTTATTATTATGAGGCTGACTTCATACAGGAACTTCATAGGAAGAAAGATAAGAAGTTAGCAATATCCTTTAACTCTACGTTCCGCTATATAGATGATGTTCTCTCACTAAATAATACAAAATTTGGTGACTATGTTGAACGAATCTATCCCGTCGAACTAGAGATAAAGGATACTACAGATATAGTTAAGTCTGCCTCATATCTTGACTTACATCTAGAAATTGACAATGAGGGTCGGTTGAAAACAAAACTTTACGACAAAAGAGATGATTTCAGCTTCCCAATTGTGAACTTTCCATTTCTATGTAGCAACATTCCGGCAGCGCCTGCTTACGGAGTATATATCTCCTAATTGATACGATATTCCCGGGCTTGTGTTTCCTATCATGATCTCCTTGATAGAGGATTGCTGCTCACAAGGAAGCTATTAAACCAAGTTTTCCAAATGGTGAAGTTGAAATCATCCCTTCGTAAATTTTACGGACGCCATCACGAGTTGGTTGACCGTTATGGAATAACTGTTTCACAGATGATATCGGATATGTTCCTTATGTCGTAACTACAATACCCTTCCCTTTTCACGAATGTGACTTACCGAATTAGACTATTAACCGGATTTGTAATAGCATAAGCAACACGACGGGTGCCACATGTGGAGCAGGATCTGCTTACCCTTCCGGAGCACCTGAGATCACCCCCAGTTTTTGGTGGGGTTCGTGTTGCTTAGTCTTTAGTTTTCTATGTTGTGTCATCTGTACTATTATGTGTCTGTTTGTCTTTTTATTTTTGGCCATGGCGTTGTCAGTTTGTTTTCGATCTATGAGTTTGACTGTCCCCCTGGTATCTTTCGTCCCTCTTTTAATTTCCCCTAGCTACATCCTTAAAGCGATATACTTTAAAATAAGGCTCTAATTTAGTACTTACTTGACAAGTATTCAACGATATCAAACAATTATACATACCATAATAACCGTCCACATCATTCGGAACAACGACAACTATTATGAGGAAAAAGAACAGTAATTTGATATAGCTTTCCATAATTGAAATAGTAAATGTCTGTAAAGCTTGAAGTCTGCTTTATATTTACTTACATAACTTACTCATGATTGTAAAACGTGTTGTATATTATGTTAGAAACAGGATGTACACGTACAGTATTATTAATTTGTTCACATTAATACAAGGATATTAATAAGTATTTGTTTCAATTTAAGTATTGTATTATATAACTTCTTGGTAAATTCCGACATGTAAAGTAGAATTCAATGTATGAAAATATAATTCATTTGTCTATGTCCGCAACAAAAATTATTTACTTTCAAATTTGTCTTGAAGATTAAATATAAGAAAAAACAAATGATAGATTAAATTCAAAAAGGAGAAGGAAACGGACAAAATATAGTTAATATAAAATAAAGACTGCCTCATGTTTTTTACTTCAAAACAAGGTATTCATTGTACCTTTTCCTATACACATTGATCCCTTGTTTTCTGTTAAAGAATGATTCACAAAGGAACATCTGTGAATTTCAATATGAGGCTCTTTAATGAACGAATGTTTATGCTTGGTAAATAAAACCTGCGTATGAATGATTTGGGAATATTACAATGATTACATTTGTTTAAGGTGGATCATTGGTATATATTTCCTCAGATAGAATTTTTTTTACCTTGCCAGAACGTAGATTTTTCCATTCTTTTTCAAATATATCATTACAATTATGGGTCACCGTGGTATTGTTCAAGCTTCAAATCGTGCACAATTGCCCAAATTTGCATAGATTGTTCCAATCTAATTAAAATTAAATCTCCGCACTTGCTCCTCGTTGTTTATATGTCGCGCGTGGGAGATCTAACAACAGCCGCTTGAGGGTCATGTCTAGGGTCAAATTTGGTGTAGCCAATCAGCGAAGGTGCTACAAAGTGTTAGGGTATTGGACTGGCATAGGAGTCTTAGTAGCGTCTAGAGGTCTTCCGAATGTATATAAACAAAAATGGCAGCCCCCATGCGAAAAACGTTTCGTAACATACAACTGTAATAATAGTTTGTATTATTGCCTTCCGAGGTTAAAATGGCATCAAGTGAAGTATGCACCCCAAGGAAAATATCAGTATGAACAAACATTTGTGTTTTATGCTGTTTTTCTTTCATCCAGATAGAAATCTCCTCAACGGGAGAACGTGTTGAAAAAAAACTGTTCAAACTGAAACTTCAGCAGAACTCCGAGAGAATCGCAATAATTTCTAGTGTTGTTACTGGTTTTGAAGTAAACGCCGAAGAAGACAATGACAATGGCGTCTGTATTAAATGTTTTAGAAAAGTCCAACAGTCTATCAAATTAAAGAAAGATGCATTAAAAATTCAAGAAGAACTAAGTGACTAACTTCGGGTGTCTTACCACCTGACCAATCAGAAAGATTAATTGCTAATAGATTTGTTAATCTGCAAGGTGGAACAAACAATAATATAAGCTTAGATGAATACTTGAGAGATGTTGAACAAGGATACAAAAGTAACATGTTCAGGACATCAGACAAAGGAAAGTATCCTTCAACACTCTAAAGAGTATCCTCACCTAGTTAATTTTGCAAGCCATTTTGATAACATTACCAATTTAACAGGAAAGAAGGGGTTCCACCATATACGGTCATACCAAGCTGATGTTCAGAAAATTGCAAAAGACCTACTACAAGAAAATGTACTACATGTAACATATACAACTTCAAGAATAATAACAGTTAAGTGCAAGGAGCTGAAAAAAGACAAAAACCCATTTGACAGTGCATTTATAGGACTTCGTACATTGATTCTTCGCCGTGACATCAACCAACAGTCCCCTTCCATCGCCTTCAAATCCACATATTTGAAAAATATTGCTTAGAATTAAATTATTGTGAATAAAGTGTGCAGGTTTAATTTTCTCTTAAGTCATAACCTTAATTAGCTGGTACTTTTTTAGTAGTTTGTTGCTGATATTAAAGTGTCATAAGTCAATGAGACATCAACCCAACAAACTAAGTAATGAAATACTTTCAGTTTAGTTGCAGAATATCATGGTCATTTTGATTAGGCAGCATAACTACCTACAAAAACATGTTTATAAAAATGTGGCATGATTTCTAATGAGACAACTATTCAAAAGGGACCAACTTATTTTTCTGTATTAAAGTTCACAGTTCCACCTCTGACTTTGAGTAAAACCTATAGCAAGCTGTACAAAGACCCGAAATGACTTTATGAAAACATCAAGCACGATTGTACAAAACAACAATGAGATAAAAACCAAACTTTTACAGATTTGTTCACAAGGCGACCAGCATGCAGATATTTACCCTATATGTACATGTAAAGAGCTGTTGATAAAACTTATACAAGGTTGTGTTGGTTAAATGTGCTTTCCTGAGTGATGAAGTTATTAGTGCACATTATTTGGTTCAATTTCTATCTTAGTCAAATTAAACACAGTAACTTAATATAATAAAATGCTCTGCTGGGCCCAGCTTGATACGACTGCAGAGGTCGAACCCTGAACAGTTGGGGCAAGTATGGACACAACAGTCAAGCTTGATACAGCACTGAATTTGGATTGTGATTAAATATTTGACACAGCATAGGTTTCTGACACAGAATAAATGTGGTCTAAGAACTTATAAATTTTTAATTTTACCTATTCAAACACAAGTTATTGACTGGAAACTAGAAAAATGCTTGTTTTTTGGCCCCTTTTTGGTTCAAAATCCCTAAACATTAAGGGAAATTATCCCCAAACTCAAACCTAGCTTTCCCTTTGTGATATGGAACCTTGTAGTACAATTTCAGAAAGATCCATACACTTACACACAAGTTATTGTCATGAAACTAGAAAAATACTTGTTTTTTGGCCCTTAATTTCTAAAATTTTGAGGCAATTACCCCCAAAATCAATCCCAGCCTTCCCTTTGTGATATGGAACCTTGTGGTACAATGTCAGAGAGATCCATACACTAACACACAAGTAATGTCTGGAAGTTACAAAAATGCTTATTTTTGGCCCCTAATTCCTGAACTGTTGGTACCATAACCCCCAAAATCAATCCCCACCTTACTTTTGTGGTATTAAACCTTATGGTAAAATGTCATGGAGATCCATTTACTTAAACTAAAGTAAGTGTGCTAAAACCAATGTGTCTTCGGACAACGACGCCAACGTCATACCAATATACGACCGCAAAATTATTTTGTGGTCGTATAAAAAAGAAGATGTGGTATTAAGTCTATATTTGACTGTTTTCTTGATGAACACATTGGTCTTGAACAAAGTTGTAAGTATGATATAGTCCCACTTCATGTTATTGTCTTGAATATGCATGAAATATTTGCCACTGAAACCCAAGTGAAGAAATCAATAATCAATCAACCTATCAATGTTCATTTTGAGCAAAAATAATCATCCTCTATGTATACTGTTGGTTACACCAAGTTAAATACAATGAGTTTGCTATATAGAACAAATATAACATCATCAAGAACAATGAACAAAAAGGTCAAAGTCATACATGTCATATGAACCATGCCAAAACTTAGCACAAAAGGACATACATCAATAGCAATAATTCTATACACCAAAGATAGTTGACTTGTTGATCAATAAACCATGAAAAGTCAAGGTCAGAAACCAACCAGAGTGATTTTTATAGTTCGTTCCTGTGTTGTACTGTTACACCACTGTCCCAGGTTAGGATCCTGCTAACATGTTTAACCCCGCCACATTCTGTATGTATGTGCCTGTCCTAAATCAGGAGCCTTAGGTAATTCAGTGGTTGTCGTTTGTTTATGTGTTACATATTTGTTTTTCGTTCATTTTTTGTACATAAATTAGGCCGTTAGTTTTCTTGTTTGAATTGTTTTACATTTGTCATTTCAGGGCCTTTTATAGTAGACTATGCGGTGTCCGCTTTGCTCATTGTTGAAGGCCGTACAGTGACATATAGTTGTTACTTTCTGTGTCATTTGGTCTCTTGTGGAGAGTTGTCTAATCATGCTCATTGGCTACCATTCCACATCTTCTTTTTTATATAATATGTACATCTTACAATAATTCCACACCAAATATATTTTTCTGTTTGTTTATCATGTTTATAGTAATCGAGATGCAGACTTGACCCCGAATATATGCTTTTTTCATGAAATGAGGTCAAGATTAGGCGAATCTGCAACCATATCTGACAGACATGGCAGACATGGTTTTCTCTTTTGAATTTTTTCATATTTTTCTGGTCGGGGCTTTTGTAGCCGACTAAAGGCATGGGTTTTTCTCGTTGTACTACAATTGCTTAAATCAAGTTATTGAAAAGTCTGGAGGGTAGTTGTCTGATTGGCAATCATACCGCATCTCTTTATTTTTAAGATGAAAACAAGTAAATATCTTATGATGTGTGTCAATCAATTACTGTCTCATTTGTTTTTATACGCTACATCTCATTTTAGTCACATTGACAGCTGCAGGCATGACATGAACCCAGATCTAGAGTGGCAATACAGCAATTGTAAGGGGGGTTAAAAGTCAAAAAAATTTGAAGAGTCTAAAGTTGAATAAGTTACAGAAACTAGATACTGAAAAATTAAATAAATAAATATCAACTGTTTTAATCATCTTGCATTTCTAATAAAGCCATATCTTGATCTTCGAAGTATTCATAGGCCGACAAATTGTAGTCTTCAGTATCGCTATCTGAAACAGCAGAATCTTCTTGCTCCTCGAGCTCCTCAACAACTTGTTCTGACAGAAATAACTTCTCAAGAGGTAACATATCACAGGATTCACAATTACAAGACTTAGTACACAAGTCACAGCATGAATGTTTCCTGCTTTCTTTCTTCATCAAATCATCCAAGTCTGAATTTCTGAGGAAATTACACATTAGATCCTTTCTCCTACAATCTTTAGCTTTAAGAATAGCCTTAACTTCCGGTTTCAACTTCTGCAAGTGGTATCCATTGTATAGGATAATGGCAACTGATGGATTTCCATCCCTCCCCACTCGCCCTATTTCTTGCAGCAAATCTACCAGATTATTTGGAGGTCCAAATAATACCACTCCACTACAC